AGATTCCACCATGAATTAGCAAGGAAATTCGATTTGGAACTACTCTTTACTGATGTTTAATATTCAGCACAGCATAGCGACATGTTTACAAGTGCAAGCATAATGATTATAAACACAATCAATCACAGGCGACAACTGAAGAATGCAGATGTTTACCTGCTTTCTAATCTCAAGGTGAATAAAGTATGACTGCTTATGATGTTCGATACGAATTAAAACAGTTGACAACTTCTCAACAGTGCCTTAGAGTTCTCCTTGCACTAGGGCTAATAAAAAGTCTTTTTGTTAAACCTGATAGATATTTTGGTCAGGAATAAAATGGAGTCTCTTCTTTTTTGATGTATTATAGAGTCTCCATTGTTATTAATCTGACAGTGCTGTCTTAACTTTGGTTTGAAGGCTTGAAAGATCCAAGGAAGAAGAGCAAGAATCTATTGAGGAATAGGGAAACTGAAACTAGAAAGAAAAAAAAACTGGAGAGAAAAATACAAATTTTATTTCCTCTCTCTCTCTCCTTAATTAATTCTCTTATCCTTCACCTCCAATGTTTCCAACTAATTTATTCCCTACTCTATGCCTCATTGTTACTGTGCAAATTCATTGCCATACTCTCCTGGGAGTTTATGTACAGTATTATAGTTGGCAGCAAAATTCTATTACCTCTGTGGTACTTCACATATTAATCTGGAAAGACAGTGAGGGCCAACAATTTGGAATTTTATCTCATTCTCATCAGGCATTTTCATGCACACAGGTATTGTTTTCATCTGGACTCGTTGTAGAGGAATCATTTTTGAAATTTCCTCCTCACGAGCTTGAGGAAGTTATTGTGCAAATATAGCATTCTCTACTCTGACATTCTAGCTCAGGTCAGCTAACTCACTACATACCTGAGACCTTAAAATAATTACAAAGGACTGTGGATGCTAGAAGTCTGAAACAAAAACAGAGAGTGCTAGAGAAACACAGAGGGTTGGATGCTGCCAAATTGCTGTGCTTCTCCAGCGCAGTCTGTTTTAGTTCCTGAGCCCTTCATGGTCTGTGCAATACAGTAACACACTAAGTATCACATGTACTGCACAAGTATACCAATGCTCATGATAACAATGAGTTACCTAGCGCAGAAATGAAGGGAAGAGTAAAAATTGAGTTTAAATTTGTTAGAAATCAGTCTAAAGTAAAAATACCTCATAGAATCCCGATAGTGGGAAACAGGCTATTCGGCCCAACAAGTCCACACTGACTCTCTGAAGAGCATTCCACCCAGACTCACCCCCCACTACCCTATCCCTGTAAATCCTGCATTTCCCATGGCTAATCCACCTAACCTACACATGCCTGAACACTATGGGCAATTTAGCATAGCCAGTCCACCCGACCTGCACATCTTTGGACTGTGGGAGGAAACTGAAGCACCCAGTAGAAATAGACACAGGGAGAATGCAAACTCCAGAGTTGGCTGATCATGTTACAGTTGTATAGGACTTTGGTTCGACCACATTTGGAATACTGCGTACAGTTCTGGTCACCACATTACCAAAAGGATGTGGATGCTTTGGAAAGGGTGCAGAGGAGGTTCACCAGGATGTTGCCTGGTATGGAGGGCGCTAGCTATGAAGAGAGGTTGAGTAGATTAGGATTATTTACGTTAGAAAGACGGAGGTTGAGGGGGGACCTGATTGAGGTCCACAAAATCATGAGCGGTATAGACAGGGTGGATAGCAAGAAGCTTTTTCCCAGAGTGGGGGGCTCAATTACTAGGGGTCACGATTTCAAGGTGAGAAGGGAAAAGTTTAAGGGAGATATGCGTGGAAAGTTCTTTACGCAGAGGGTGGTGGGTGCCTGGAAGGCATTGCCAGCGGAGGTGGTAGAGGCAGGCACGATAGTGTCATTTAAGATGTATCTAGACAGATACATGAATGGGCAGGGAGAAGAGGAATACAGATCCTTGGAAAATAGGTGACAGGTTTAGATAGAAGATCTGGATTGACGCAGGCTTGGAGGGCCAAAGGGCCTGTTCCTGTGCTGTAATTTTCTTTGTTCTTTGTTCCACATAGACAGTCATTGAAGGCTGGAATTGAACCCAGGTTGCCGGTGCCACGAGGCAGTGGTGCTAACCACTGAGCCACTGTGCTTCCTGTGAGTCTGGGAAATTTAACTTCAATAGGGTGAAAACAGATCTGGCCCAAGTAAACCAAAGATTGGAACAAAAAACTGTAATTGAACAAGAGGAAATGGTTTGGGTACAGTTGTGCTACGTTCCAGTGAGGAGAAATGGCAAAGCGAAGAAATCCAGAGACTTAAAAAAGAAACAGTGAGTAAAATGAAGCAGAAAATGTGTGACAGATGGCAGGTGTATGATATAATTGAGAACTAGGCCAAAGATAGAAAGTTCAAAAGAAAGTGAAAAAAATAAGAGAAGCAAAGGGAGCATGAGAAAAGATTGACAGCTAGCATTGAAGGTCTTCTAACAGGTAAGAGGGTGGTAAAATCAGGAGCACAGCCAATGAGGGGTTTATGCTGTGAGCAGAGGGAATAGTTGAAATACTAAATGAGAGATCTGCAGATGTCTTTACCAAAAAAGAATGTGCTGCCCAAGTCACAGTGGAAATTGAGACGCTGAATAGGCTAAAAAATTATATTAAGATAGGTCGACCATATTTAAGGTTGCTAAGTTAGCAGGATGAGATGCCTCTGAGGATACTGAGGAAAGTAAGGGTGGAAATAGCAGAGGCTCTGGCCACAATCTTCCAATCTTCCTTTAGATAGAGGAATGGTACCAGAGAACTGGAGAATTTCAAATGTTACATCCTTGTTCAGAAAAGTGTATGAGGAAAAATCCAGTAAAGACAAGCCAATAATCTAGAACTCCAGCAGGGAAGTTTGGGACAAAATTTAAGAGTCACTTGGACAAATATGGATTAAGGAAAAACGGCATAGATATATTAAGGCAAGGTATCTTTTACTAACTTGATTAATATTTTTGGTGTGATGATAAAGTGTGATGAGCATAATGCATTTCATATGGTGCACATGGACTTTTAAAAGGCATTCAATAAAAAGTACTATACAATAGGCTAGGCAACAAAGTTAAAGCTCATGGAATATAAGGGATAGTACTATAAAAAGGACAGGTGCAACATTGGTAAAAGATCCATAGTCCATTAAAAGATAGCCCATATAAAAGTTTTAATGGGAGAGCACTTGAAAAAACAGCAACAGGATTACACAGAGCCAGTACAGATTCATGAAAGGGAAATCAAAGTTAATGCTTCGAATCCGATAACATTTCTTCGTAGCTGTGCATAAGAAAGCTGTAAAAAAAAACCTGTAAAGGCTTGTTGTTGGAATATTGCATTTTTACTGCAGTTTCTACAATGAGCTTTGTTTATTTCTATGTTATGTTGTTTGTATAATAAACTTCTTTTAACTATTGTTAAAACTAAATCTGCAGCATTGCGCGCTTATGCTTCAGTGATCGACTACCCCATTAAATAAAACTAAATTTGATCTATCAAGCCAGATTTCAGGGATCTGACTCGTCCAACAATAACATCAGCTGGGATCATAACTGAAGCATACTATCTAAATGGAGACAGACTGCAGAGCTCCAAATGCAGAGCCATCTGGATGCTCTGCTGCATGAATTGCAAAAGGCTAGGATGCAGGTACAGCAAGTAATTAGGAAATCTGATTGAATATAATTGTGTATTGCAGGAAGAATTGAATACAAAAGCTGGAAGATTATGCTTCACTTGTACAGAGCTCTGATGAGACGCCATCTGGAGTAATGTGAACAGTACTAGTCTGTTTATTTAAAGAAGGATGCAAACGTATTGAATCATAGAATCCCTACAGTGTAGAAGCAGGCCATTCAGCCCATTGACTCCACACCAACCCTCCTGAAGAGCATCTCATCTGGATGAAAGCACCTACCCTAACCCTGTAATGCTGCATTTTCCATGGTTAACCCACCTAGCCTGCACATCCCTGGACACTATGGGTAATTTAGCATGGCCATTCCACCTAACCTGCACATCTTTGGACTGGGGGAGGGAACCAGAGCACTCAGAGGAAAACTACTCAGAGGCAGGAAGACAGTTACCCGAGGCTAGAATCGAACCTGGGTCCCTGGCACTGTGAGGCAGCAGTGTTAACCACTGTGCCACCGTGCTATACTAGAAGCAGCTCATAGGAAGCTTGCAGATTTATATCTGGAATGAGAAGTTTTTCTGAGGAAAGATTGAGCAGGTTAGGCTTGTATTGACTGGAGCTTTGAAGAGTAAAAGGAACTTGACTGAAATATACAAGATCTTGAGTGATGTGGAGAGTGTGTAGATTGTAGGCCACTGTTTAAAAATAAGGGGTCACTCAATTGGGACAGAAATGAGGATCACATTTTCTCTCCCAAAGGTTTGCAAGTCTTTTGAGCCTCTACATTACCGTCCTCACAAATTACAATGTTTCCAAGTTTTGAATCTATCACAAATTTCAAAATTGTGCCCTGAAGACCCAGGTCTTGATCATTAGTATCAGGAAATGTAAGGGTCATAGCACTGACCCCAGCTCAAAAAACATCCATTCATACTCTGACTCTGTTTCTCATCACTCAGTCAAGTTTGTCTCCATGTTGCCATTGTCCCTTTTATTCCATGAATTTTGACTTTTAGTTTTAGTTCAACGAGAAAAATATTCCTGCTCATGATCTGAGAATGTCAAAGTTGTACAAGAATACCGCATGCAAGCAAAGAGCACGTCACACCCAGGAAGTATGGCTGTTTTACCCCTGTAAAACACAGTGTATTTTATTCTGCATTAATCTTGTCTTGCACCAGATCTGCACAAATAGCGACGCTGAGTATAAAATAAATGGGAAAATGCTCCATCCCTACATCCTACACTTTGATAATCGTGAAAGATCCCTATATGACATTTTTTTTTGCTAACCTTTACAGTTACGCTCTCATGTTAACATTGATCTGGTTGCATTGAAGACCTACCTGTGATGGGTGTAAGTAAGGTTCCGGTGAAGCTAAGTTAGTTTGTACAGAAACACTCTTTTCCAGTAGCACTTGAGGGAAGCCAAGCTTTTCAAATGTGTTCCTCTTCCAGTGTTTGCCCTCCTGCTGAGCCAGTGCTTCATCCTCACTGAAAGCCCGAACGACAGGCCCTGGCATAGGTAGAGGAAGGGCCCCGTCACTTTCATAACCAGACACTTCTTTCTGGGAATCCCAGCTGCTGCGCTGCTTGATGTGATGTAGCTGCTGTGCCTCCCGTGCCAGTCTTGCCTGGGTTGTGTGTACATCGGAGTATCCCCGCAGCATCTCTGCCTCAACGCTCTTGTTGTCAGTCTGGCCCATCTCAGTCTTGTCGAGGGGCGAGTGCCGCTCCTCAGCCAGCAGCCGCTCAGGTACAGGGTTAATTTCTCCGCAACTCTCCCCTACCACACCACAAGTCTCTTGGGTCAGTGAAGGCTTCCTGCTTTTCCTTTTCCTTGTGTTTGGCGAGTAGCCTATTGAAGATAACGAGTCGTGCTGGCTGGACCATGACATGGAGTCCTCCTGAATCAGCTGGTTGCCTTGCTGACTATACCTGGCTTCAGATCCTTCCAGGCCATTGTAATCAGCAGACCTTGAATCAGAACACTGAAGGTCTCTAACCGATGAATGGCTGTGCTGTAACGAGTAAGAAATAGTGGATGTAGCACTAGGTGAATATCGATGCTTTGTACTTGTTTTGAACTTTGGGCTAGAGCCAGACTGCTCTACGTACACCAGCTGCTTCACAAGTTCTTTGCCCACTGGACTGTATTCTAAACTCATGGATTTCTCTGGACATTTTTGTTTTGTTAATATTAGATGCTGGTAAGGAGAGTTCTGGCCTTGTTTGGGAGAGTGAAGCATCGGATGTGGCTTCCGAACTGGCGATTTCTGTGGTGACCCAGCTTTGTAGAGGCTCATTCCCTCACACTGCACTTCCATGGGTGGTTCATCGTAAATAGGAGCCTGGTATTCAACAGGAGGTTCCTCGTAAAGAGGAGGCTCATAGCCATAGCGAGGAGATGAGGGCTGGGATTCAAAGGAATATTTTCTGTGTTGGTAGTGGATTGGGGAATGATAAGGCTCCCCTCTTGCCAGAATGGGGGAACAGCCACCAATGTGCTCTGCCCTTTTCAGGTAAGGGGATGACTTGCGTTCCGTAAAGAAGACCTGGTTATCACTATCCGATGCAAAGCTGTGAGCATGTGACAGCTGGTGGCCCGAAGGCCTGCGAGACCGCGTTCCTGGCTGGTTCTCAGCATTCCCGTTACCCTGATGCAATAAATAACTTGGTTCCCGGTCTGTAACTTTAATTAACATTCGTTCCTTTGTTCCAGTCATCCAGCGATGAGGTGATGTCCTGCAAAAACAGTAAAAAGGAAGAAAAACGCAGAGTTAAAACAAGGAGCCCAACAATATGAACAGTAGCTACAGAATGTGAAACTATTGATGCGTGGAATCTGGTCTTTCACTCTCCTCTTTGTTTAATCCACTTTGAACACTGAATTAAATCTTTTAATTGGGTTATTTTTGTTTTCAATTTAGATCAATCTAATAAGGCAGTTCGGGGGTAATACTTTGGTACAGAAGCAGTGTGTGATTGCTTCAAATGTTTCCACGCTGCTTCAGTCCAGCAAGGTCCAAGAACATTCACTGCCAATACATGACTGCATGCAAATTTCTGCACCATTTCCTGGCTTCACCTCAAACTTTTCACAGAATCCATCAATTATTGAGCTATTTCCTTTGTGACTAGATATTTACATTTGGGCTAAAATAGATTTCTTTTAAATTACCAGTTACGTGTTTAAGAATAATTTTGGACAAAGCAACTTCCTTTGGATGGGTTGTGGCACTGTAGTAGTATCCCTACCCCTGGACTGGGAGGCCCAAATTCAATATCCACCTGCTCCAGAGGTGTGTAATAACATCTCTGAACAGTTTGATTAGAAAAATAGGTTAATTAAAAAAAAAATGAATAAAAAATTATACTTGAAAAAAATCTTTTAAATGTAACCAATTGTCATTATGTTTCATGAAGAAGCATATTCTCATTTGGCTTAGAATATCGCAAGGAGTCCATTCTGTTTATCGATTCTGTGCTACATATTTTGAAGATCAATACAGTTAGCTCCACATTCCTGCTGTTTTGCCATACCCCTGTATCTTTTTCCATCACTTTCGTCCACTATCCCCATACCCTTGGATTACCTTACTGATGAAAAAATCTATCTCAGCCTTGAAGATAATTACCGACCCAGCCTCTGTAAGCATTCTGCTATAAAGAATTCCACAGATTCACTGACTTCTGAGAGAAAATATTCCTTATCAACTCTGTCCTAACTAGGCAACTCCTTATTCCAAGATATGCTCTCTGGTTCTAGACTCTCCCACAAAGGGAAGTAACCTCTCATGACCTACGATGTCAAGCCCTCTAAGAGTTTTGTATGTTTCAATAAGGTTGCCTCTCATTTTCTTTATTCCAACAAGTTCAGACCCAACCTACACAACCTCTCTTCATAAGAGAGTCCCTCCAAAGCTGACACCACCCAAGTGAACCCTCCCTGGACTACCCCCAGAGCCAGCATATCTTTCCTTAGATAAGGGGGCCAGAACAATTCACAGTATTCTACGTACGGTCTAACTAGTGACTTGTATAGTTTTAGCAAGATCTCCATATTTTTACAATCCATTCCCTTTGAAGGTCACATCCCCCTTGCCTTCCCTATTACTTGCTGCTTTCTGTGATTCAGGGAAAATGACCCCAAAATTAACCTGTGCTGCAGCTTTTGCAGTCTTTCTCCACTTAAGTAGTCAGCTCCCCTAATCTCCCTGCCAAATGCATAACCTCTCATTTCATATACTGTATTCCATCTGTCAAGTATGTTTTCCCCCATTTGCTTAATCTGTCTATATTGCTTTGCAGACTCTTTTTGTCTTCGTCAACACTTGCCTTCCCACCTAGTTATGTGTCATCCACAAGGTCGGCTATAGTGTGTTTCTCATCTAAGTCAATATATATTGTAAACAATTGTGGCCCCAGTGCTATCCCTGTGGCACTCCACAATTTACAGGCTGAAATCCTGAAAGTACCCTCTTATCTCAACTTTCTGTCTTTTATTAGTTAGCTTGTTCTGTATCCATGCTAATATACTTCCAAACTATGGGCTCTTATTTTATTAAGTAGCCTAATACATAACACCCTATCAAATATCTTCTGAAAATCCAAATATATTACATCCACTTCTTCCCCTTTATCTATCCTGCTTGTTACCTCCTCAAAGAATTTTACCCCCAACAACATGGGGTCTTATTAAGAAGCCTTATGTGTGGTACTTCAACACAGCTCAAAGTCCTCTCTCCAAGCATAACTGTGTTTGGAAAGTTAAATGGTATAGTTTAGTGACTCAGTTCAATTTGGCTACATTTTTTTCTAAATGTATCAGCCTTGGATAAGGGTCCATTCATTAGAGACAGGATAAATTTCACCAAACAAAGGTGTTATAATCCTAACTGATGCAACTACTGAACGAATCAGATCCCTAATACAGAACAAATGAGTTCTGAGGAAGGATCACCAGACCCCAAGTGTTAACTCTGATTTCTCGTCACAAACGTTGCTAGACCTGCTGAGCTTTTCCAACAATTTCCGATTTACAGCATCCGCAGTTCTTTCGGCTTTTAAATCAGAATGGAATCTGATTAAAATAAACTAAATTAAGCTATTTATATATAAAGCAATTTGAAAGATTTCAAACCACATGTCAAAACAAAGTCCCATCTACTCCCCAACGTCATATTATAGTTACTCAAAATGTAGAGAAATTTTCCTCTCCTTTAAAAGCTACAGGTTCGACATAACTGCTTCTTCTCAGTTCCTGTCCTATGAGCGGAGGCTTTTTTCCTTAACCGTTCACACAATCTACAGCTGAAGCTTTCTCAACATTTTTACAGATCTGCTGAGTTCTGGTTTGGAAGCTGCACAAACCTACACCCTTTCATTGAGGCAACTTATTTCCCTAATTGCTCCAATGAATCCTTTTTTTTTAAAGAAGAAACTACACTGGCTGTCCTATAGGTCTCTTTCAAATGGTTTCTCAAAAACTTTTGAACTAGATTAAATAGAAAAACTTGCTCTTCCTGTAGCATCTGCTAAATTAAGATTTTCTGTTGCCAACCATAAACCTCTGACTCTACACAAGATCCCTTTAACACTCCAGGAGGCACACTCTAGCTTAAAATCATGGTTCTAGAAAAATTGACCCAATTAATTCTTGAATCCCTTCAAAAAAAAAAGGATGAACATTCACATTAAACTAGTTTAAAATCACAAAGCTTTCATGCAAGGAAAATTGCAAACGTTTGGATATGCCTACGTGAGGGGCTTATGGATCTTTTCTTTTGAATACACTTAAGGCTGAAACAGACAGAGTTTTGGCCTCTTAGGAAATCAAGGGATATGGGGTTGGGCGGGAAAGCAGAGTTGAAGCCAAGCTTCAGCCATGATCACGTTGAATGACAAAGTGGTTCATATAGTCATACAGCACGGAAACAGACCCTTCAGTCCAACCAGTCCGTGCCGACCATAATCCCAAACTAAACTAGTCCCACCTGCCTGTGCTTGGCCCATATCCCTCTAAACATTACTTATTCATGTACTTATCTAGATGTCTTTTAAACATTGTAACTGTACACCCCGCATCCACCACTTCCTCTGGACAGTCATTCCACACATGAACCACTCTCTTTGTAAAAAAAAAAAAAATGCCTCTCATGTCTTTTTAAAAGCTTTCTCCTCTCATCTTAAAAATATGCCCCCTAGTCTTGAAATCTCTCACCCTAGGGAAAAGACACCTGCCATTCACCTTAACGATACCCCTTTTTATCTTTCCTACGCTCCAGTGAAAAAAGTCCTAGATTAAGGAGCCTCTCTTCATAACCTTCCATTCCTGGCAACATCCTGGTAAATCTTTTCTGAACTCACTCCAGCTTAATAATATCCTTCCTATAACAGAAGACCAGAACGAGACACAGAAGAAGCCTCACCAACGTCCTGTACAACCTCAACATCGCGTCCCAACTCTTACACTCAAAGGTTTGAGCAATGAAGGCAAGCATGCTAAACACATTCTTTACCACCCTGTCTATACATGATGCAAACCTCAAAGAATTATGTACCTGAACCCCCATGACTCTCTGTTCTACAGCACTGCCCAAGGCCCTACTTTTATTTGCATAAGTCTTGGCTTTGTTTGTTTTACCAAAATGCAATACCTCGCATTTAGCCAAATTAAACTCCGTTTACTTAAGAACATAAGAACATAAGAGCTAGGAGCAGGAGTAGGCTGTCCGGCCCTTCGAGCCTGCTCCGCCATTCAATAAGATCATGGCTGATCTTTTCGTGGACTCAGATCCACTTACCCGCGTTCTCACTGTATCCCTTAATTCCTTTATTGTTCAAAAAAAATCTACCTTATCTTTAAAAACGTTTACTGAAGTAGCGTCAACTACTCCACTGGACAAGGAATTCCATAGATTAACAACCCTCTGGGTGAAGACGTTCCTTCTCAATTCAGTCCTAAATCTGCTCCCTCTAATCTTGAGGCTATGCCCTCTTGTCCTAGCTTCACCTGCCAGTGGAAACATCCTCTCTACTTCTATCTTATCTAGTCCCTTCATAATTTTATATGATTCTATAAGATACCCCCTCAATCTTCTGAATTCCAATGAATATAATCCCAATCTACTCAGTCTCTCCTCATAAGCCAACCCCCTCAACTTTGGAATCAACCTAGTGAACCTCCTTTGCACCCCCTCCAGTGCCAGTACATCCTTTCTCAAGTAAGGAGACCAAAACTGCACACAGTACTCCAGGTGTGGCCTCACCAGCACCTTGTACAGCTGCAACATAACCTCTCTGCTTTTAATCTCAATCCCTTTAGCAATGAAGGACAAAATTCCATTTGCCTTCCTAATTACTTGTTGTACCTGCAAACCTATCTTCTGTGATTCATGCACAAGGACACCCAGGTCCCTCTGCATAGCAGCATGCTGCAACTTTTTACCATTCTAGTAATAATCCTTTTTACTACTACTCCTACCAAAATGTATGACTTCACATTTATTTACATTGTATTCCATCTGCCAGACCTTTGCCCACTCACTCAATGTATCTATGTTCCTCTGCAAAGTTTCACAGTCCTCTGCACACTTTGCTCTGCCACTCATCTTAGTGTCATCTGCAAACTTTGACACTCTACGCGTGGTCCCCAACTCCAAATAATCTATATAAATTGTAAATAATTGCAGTCCCAACACCGATCCCTGAGACACACCACTAGTCACTTGCCAATGTTAAGC